CTCAGGCTTTTCTGTTTGTGCCGGTATCTCTGCCTGTGGCTTTGGAGCTGCCACAGGTTGTGCTGGCTGTTGTTGTGTTTCTATGGTGCTGCTGGCTTGATGTGCTGCTGGCTCTGGCAGTATCTTTGCCTGTGGCTCTGGAGGTGCCTCAGGCTGGTTTGGCAAAGGTGTGGCTGACTTCAGTTTATCACACGGTGGCTTGATTGGCAAGGTGATGTCTCCGTCTTGGCCAGGACTTGCTGACTTTAGAAATGAGTAGTGTCCATAGAACTCTCCAGGAGATTCATCACGCTCCTGCCAATGCAGAAGAAGGTGGACGTGCACGGTGTCCGTCTCCCCATAGATGGCATCTGGCAAGAAACCAGATTTCTCCGTGTCAAAGTGCTGAAGAGCCTGCCAAGTAAGTAGTCAGTCTTGATTTAAGAACGTTCACCTATGTAGATATTATGTTGATCTGTCTTTAAACAATTGCTTTTTTGTGGGCTTGAAATGTTTGCAGTTAGAATATTTATTCAACCCCTTCCTCATCAGCAATCGTGCAACGGATGCCCAAACCCAGCATTCGTGTTATGAACGGTATAAGCTCCAAATCGATGACACCCTTGCCAGCAACCAATTGGGCAGCACAAGCAGCATCCTTCTCACAGGAATAGTCCACCTTCTCAAGAACCGATTGCATGAGACGGTGAGCGTTTTTCTCCTCCAAAGCAACTTGCCGAACATTTGTGGCATAACCACCTTTGCGTCTTGGGACCTTGCTGTATGATTCAAAGTTGATCGAAGACGTCACACAATGGAAGAAGCACATCCCATCAGCTGGCACCGACTTCACAAGCATTTGTGCTTTCGGAACTTGTTCAGAAGCAGTGCCAGACCTTGAGCTGTGCGTATTTTCCAGAGCCTCTGCCACATGTTGACGAATTGCAGCATGGACCAAAGAAGTTGCTTCATCTTGAAGGCTGACTCCAACTTCTTCTACTGGGACCACACAATATTGACATCCCTTCTTCTTGTTCTCGGACAAGGCTTTCAAGCAAACAGGTGTTGGTTTCCGCTTGCCGTCTGCACTGCTTCCGCAGCCGGAATTGCAAGCCTTTTCAAGTTGGTAGCACTCAGGCTGTGAAGCACCCCTAAACACAACAAGAAGCAATTCTGAATCATACAAATCCAACGTAAGCAAGTCATCAAGGAAGGCTTCTGAAGATTGATTTCCCATATTTACTCGAGCATTCAGAACTGCAAGGCCAAGGGGAATGTAGCCACGCTCCTTCCATCGAGCTTGCACATGCAAGTTTTCTAGCACTTGTTGAGTGGAGTCTGCCAGAATCGCATCAAATACTGTCTCATTGGACCCAGCCAAGATACTGAA